CAGCGTGTTTGTGTGGGGGCAGCTGCCACCACGTGCTCTGCTCTTGGAGTTATGGGAGGATTTGGGTTGGAAGGGATCTTTCAAGGCCATCTAGTCCAACCCCCTGCAGGGAGCAGGGACACCTGCAGCTAGAGCAGGGTGCTCAGAGCCCCGGCCGTGTGTGACCTGTGAGGGGCTGAGGTGGTCAGATTTGGGGTCTGCTACCCACCTCTAAATATCTCAGGAAACTCAAAACCTCCCATTTCTGTCCGTGCTGCCCCGTGGTGACCAGGAGGGTGATTTTTTTGTCTGGAGGAACTGAGGTGTGACACGGCAAGTCCCTGATTTCACCAGCTCTTTGTCTGTTGCAGAAATACCACTCGGAGAGCAAAGGCCCCGACCAGGTGGCAGAGACACAAGCCCAGATTGATGAACTGAAAGGAATCATGGTTCGGAACATAGGTACCCAGCTGCCAGGCCTGCAGCCCCTCAGGGCAGGGGGGGTCACCCCCCTGGAGCTGGCTGTGGGCTGGCCTCTGGTGGCAGGGTGACCTGGGGCAGCACAGAGTCCCCGGGCTGCTGAGCGTGGGCCTGAGGAGCACTGAGGTGACCTCACAGGGTGAAGCCTGCTATGGGTTGGGTCTGTTGGCAGCCAAAATGTTCCTTGGTAGCTTAAATATTGTCAGACTGGGGGGTTTGATGAGTCTGACCCCTTAAAGTGGAGGGGTTGGATGTGGGACTGGGCAGAGCTGAGCTGGGTCCATCCCCACAGGCAGCTGGTGTGCTGTGAGGCCGTGTCCCAGCAACCTCAGAGCTCCCTGAGAGCTCCTGGCCCCAGAAGCAGCTCTGCCCAAGGGTTCTACCTACAGATTTGGCTTTTTGTCTCTCTCTCTCTCCAGACCTCGTGGCACAAAGAGGAGAGAAGCTGGAGCTGCTGATCGATAAGACGGAGAACCTGGTGGATTCGGTGGGTCTGGGGAAGGAGGTGGACAGGGGGGGATGGTGTTGCTGGGTCAGCTGAGGTGCTGCCAGCATCTCTTGTGCCCCAGGGGGGGAAAACCCCTCGCTCTTCATCTGCAGCAGCAGGAAATCCAGACACCTCTCAGCTGGCAGGAGGTGTCTGTGCTTTAGGGAGGCAGGAGAGATGCCCAGAGCTTTCCCAGCAGCTGTTGGGTGTTTCAGCCTTACCCTCGGGGGTGGCCAGGAGCAGCCCAGGCTCAGGCAGTGCCACAGCAGCTGGAGTCCCCTCAGGGGGGAGGCTGAGTCCAGCTCCCAGCTCTCCCAGGGGTGGCTGCTGCTTGGAAGCCACACAGAGGAGGAGGGGATGGGATGTGCCTCTGGTGTCTCACAGCCCAACAGGGGGTGTCCTCAGAGGTCCAGGGCTGAAGTCCTCAGACTTTGGAGCTGTGGACTGTGTTTTCTCCTGCATGAGCCACTGGAATGTTGTCCATAAAGCAGAGGTTTATTCCTAGCAGCAGTGGCAAGGGAGGCCTGGACAGGCTGGTGGTCAGAGCAGCCCTGTCCTCTGGAGAATGAGCTGAGGTGTGTTGGAATCCAGCAGCTGGGCAGAGGACACGCTCCCCAGGTTCAGATGGTGCCTGAGCATGAGAACAGGCTCTCAGTCAAAATTCCAGTTCACAGGGCTGGGGTTCTGCCTTGTCTGGAGAGGGTTTGGGGTGGCTTGTGGGGAGAACAGGACAAGAGCCATCAGGGAGTGTTGTGGAGCTGGCTCCTTCAGGGCCCTTCCCCTGGGGAGCTCCTGGGGGAACCTGCCTGAGAGCAGCTGCACTGAGGCAGCTGGGGGGTGTTGGGGGTCAGGGGGTGACCACAACCTGTTTGGAACAGGTGGAGTTGCAGGATGCAGAGAGGAGGCTTTGGAGCTGGACAGCCATGAGCTTCCCCCAGGACACAGCAAGGCCAGAGAACCAGAGGGGGAGTGGAGGAGGTGTGTAGCTCCTGAGGAGCAGCAGTGGGGGTTGTCTCCTTTAGGCAGGTGCATTTACAGAGATGAAGCTGCAGGTAAAATGTTGGTGATTGGATCAGTGGTTCCATCAGTATTTTGGAGCACTTCAGTTCCCAGAAGGCTGCAAGGCACACGAGAAGCCAGCCAGGGGAGGCAGGCCCAGCAGTGGGCCCTGTCCTTGTGTGGTTCTCTGGGGAGGCACAGCCCTGAGCTGCCTCTGGGCTGAACTCTCACACTTGGTTTTGCCCCTGGGGTGACGTGGGAGAGTCTCCTCCAGATGCCTGCTCAGTGTAGGGGTGAACTGGCTCTGGAGGAGATGCTGCTGTGGGTTATCAGGGAGTTGACAGCTGGGCAAAGCCTCCTCCTGGAGCTCCTGGGGCTGCAGCAGGGAATTAAGGAGTTGTTTCACTTTCTTTTGCAGTCAGTCACTTTCAAAACCACCAGTAGGAACCTTGCTAGAGCCATGTGTATGAAGAACCTCAAGCTCACCATCGTCATCATCATCGTGTCCATTGTGAGTATGGAGCAGAAGGCACCTTGAGCTCTTGGTCAAGGCTGGAGCCTGTCACTGTCTTCTGACCTCGAGGGGCTGGGCTGTAACCCCTCTCCTGGTGGTCTCTGAGGGGAGAGGACATCACAGCAGGT